AGATTTGGTGTTTAACACTAAATCAGAGTTAACGTACCAACTCTCCAAAAAGAGTTAAATAACAGGTTAAATAACATAGTTAAGACTAAAATGATTGACATTTTAACAATTTTATTGTACCTTTGCTGTTACACCCTATCTTGATTGTGATGATCCATTTATAAGCAGTATGTTTCTCACTGTTATGTTGTCATGTTATATTACAGTTCAAACAAGTGTGTATCACATGCCTGTAGTGTGAAGTGGAAGTCTAGTTGTGTAATTATGCAATATTGAGAAAATATAGATGTTTGTTTAACGAACTGTTTTTGTTTCTTGTTTTGGCGCTTCTAACATTTTAGATATTTTTAGTAAAATTTTAAAGATTTTCAAAATGCACATATCACTGACAGTCGCTGAGAGCAGGTTAACTAGCGAATATTTATAAGAGTAATTTGATTAAATGACAAACAGTTTAAACAGTTTAAATCTAAACATAAACACTGTGTGATAATTAAGATCTGATAACTGTAAAGATTTCAGGAACTGAAAATATAACTTTATTGCATGCAACCAATGTACATATTTTTTCATGTTCTTGATAACTTGATAGCAGGATTTTATTGTTTATTACTGTGCTGGAGACTCACAGCGTCACAGGAGTGAGAAACATCATTTTCTCACAGAAATTACAGAGATTACATTTAACTCATCAATATACAGGAAGATTCAGTAAAGCTGCTTCACTGCGAGATTGTTTTTGTGAAGACTCGGTCTTCTCCAGTTTTACATTAAATATTTTGTCTATCCATGTGTACAAGCCAATGTGACTATTTTCATCCTTGTCTAAATAGAGTTTTTAAGGAATGAAAAACACATCAAACTTTATATTTGTGTTTTAAATAATATTTTTATTGGAATTATCTTCATTTTTAAATTGTTAATACTGATTGCCACAGTGTGATCTCTTATAATCTGTCAGCATCCATCTATGTGCAAAGCAAACTTCCTGACACTCTGCTATAAAGACTTGAAATCATGGTGTCAGTTAAAGCAGAAGAAAAGTTCTCATCAGATTATCTTGAATACCAAAATGTCCTCTGTGGCTCTGCTGCTCCTGCTGGCTGCTGGATCCTGTGAGTCTCACTGGAAAAAACACTGACAGTAGGATCACAGCATACTGACTGTTGCTGTCACATAACACATGTTTTCTCCACAGGTGTGAAGTGTGAACAGCTAACACAGCCAGAGTTTGTGACTGTGCAGCCAGGTCAACATCTGACCATCACCTGTCAGGTCTCTTATTCTCTTAGCAGCTATTGGACAAGACTGGAGTGGATTGGGATGAAATACACTGGGGACTCTCGCTATAAAGATTCACTAAAGAGCAAGTTCAGCATTGACTTGGACACTTCAAGCAAGACAGTGACTCTAAATGGACA